CTACGTCTACGGGTTGGGGTAGGGTAAGTTAAGGTACGGACCGGTACCGTACCTACTACTACTACGTTAGTTAGGTTAGGTAGGTAGTAGTACGACACTATATATATATATATATATATATATATATATATATACATATATATACACTTATGAGTGGATGTAACCATAAAGTGATGCATTCCAAGACACCAGAAGACATCAGAGGGTAAGCAACACCGAAGTGGACAAACCTTCTCCTCAACCTAAAGAAGCACAAAAGACAACACCCAAGGCTCGGAATGATGGGATCAAGTATGTCTTACTCAACCAAAGGAAACAGAACTCATCTGGTCTGGAATTATGAACACTCATCTTCATTCCCCAACTCTGTTGGCAAGGTAAATTCCACTTGCACCCCAGAATTATTGGAAGGATGTGGAACAAACTGTGCTCAACCAGGGACCCAGGATGGGACAATTGTGCATTAAGAATTATGAGAAGACAATGGAACCTCTTCCATGAACGATGTACTGAACCAATACTGATCAAAAAGAAGGGCCACGCCCAACCCAACCAGTTAGTCAAGCATCAGATCTGAACTGGTATTACGAGTAGGCTCCCACATAGGCTGGTGCCTCTTCTACTGATATCTGGGAAATAAACATCAATGGAACTGGGTAAGAGGGCCCCCAACTTCACCCTCTTCTCCAACAGTGGAGGAATTCATTCTAACACTCTGAAGAAAAAGCCTCTGTCCACCACCCCAGTGACTGGAAACTGGGTGTGGTAAGAACTTCCTAGCTCCAGTAATAAAATCATTGGGGAGCCCTGAGGAACAGTGCTTTAGAAACAGTGCAATAGATGATTCAAGTTCTCTAAATTTTTAAAAGCAAACTGACCATGATTTATTCAATCCAATTATTGGCAGATACAGGCAGGATCTTCTTATGCTTTACTCATGATAGTCCATGAGTGGCAGTTTAGCACTGTACAGTAACAACAATTATCTGTTGCAACCTAGATAATGTATACTGAATTAGTGGTTGCTAGTGCAGAATTAGTTTAATAAAAGCACACCTGCCTGGACAACATTCGCCACAGAGTGGGATCCTGTGAAAATGAGGTAAGGGACCCTGAAAGGAAGCAATGAAAATACTCACCCCTCTGTATAATCTAGTGGAAGTGGATAAGATAGCTACGGGGGTAGTTGAAAACCCTCAGATGAAGATACTGCCAGATCATGCAAATAATGTGAGATAAAAGTATTGGAGGAGGTCCACATACCAGTCCACAAAATGTCCTTCAGTGGGCAATTCAACCAGGCTGCTAAGGTAATAGAAATGTGACAAATCTGATAAGATATGACTCACAGAAGATTCCTCGCCCAGAATAAAAAGTCGTTGTCTAGCATCTCTAAAGGCATTAGTTTGGGCAACAAAACCCTCACTGATCATGACAATGATGTAAATCTGAATGATAATAGAAGTGAGAAATAGTGATCAGATAAGTCACTGAAAAGGATTTATCCCCTTCCCTGACTAACAGTGTCTCGGGTAAGAAGAACTGGTCTGAGGACATATGCAGAATGATACAGTGGTCTGCGGACAAACAGCACAAACCACTCTGACCAGGGACATCTGTACATCAGCAGTAATGAAAAATAAATCTTCAGTTAAAGGTGATACATGGCATAGGAGAATAAAATCACAAACGAGTGTTGAGAAAGGGCATGTAATGTAACCTTAAAATACCAGATACGTAACTGGAATGGTTGTTTGGGATGAAGGACACAAAGTGACTTGAGGAATCTGGAGAGTACTGGGTCAAAGAATATTTTGTCTCAAGTATCGAATGGTAGTCTTTTAGGCTGCCTCATACAGGGTGATTGTGGAAGATGCACAACCCTAGCCAAAGAGCCAGGTCAAAAAAAGCGTTAAGGTTGGCACTTCTGATCGAAGTAATACACCATTGCTGGTATGTATGTCATTTCTGTTGATAAATGTCCATCAGAACTAAGCAAAGACTAAGACAGATACACGGCAACCCTAGAAATTAAACACTGATGCCGTGCAAAAGACTGCATAACTTCTATCCCTGAAGCTTGAGTTTCTGAATAGCCGGATGTATCATGTCAGATCAGATCATTGGCTGCCTCCACAGAGATGGCCTAAGTAGGAGTGGAAGAGGTGGACACTCCTGAAGGTACAGCAGAAGCAGAAACTAGGGTGTGGCTGCCAATCCAGTGCTATCAACAAGACCTGACAATGGGTTGGAACAAATCAGTTAGTACTTTGGATAACATATGAATTGGAGGGAAGGCCTAGAGTATCAAACTTGTCCTGATTGAATGCATCTATTGACCAAAACCTGAAGGTGAAGTATTATATACCAAATTGCCAGTAGTTGGATGTTCCAATGAGTGGCCAACCCACCAATCAGAGTTGCAAAATTAATGCCAATTCAACAGAACCTTGTGATGCAGCATCTATTTGGGTTGAGACAATTGATCTGCTACTGCAGTTATCACATGAACATGGCAAGCTAGCAGGGTGGTATGATAGGAGAGGTCCAAAGAAAGGAGGTCCAAGATTCGAAAACAAGGATCCCTGAATCAAGTGTCTTCTAAATGAGAAACACAAGACACCACCAAGGAATTGTCAGAGTAGAACCTGCCGATATTTCCCTTAACAAGCCCAGACCATGAGGCATTGCCTTTTAAAGAGCAATAAGGACTAAAACGTTGTATAGGGAAGCCTCATCCTCCATGCATAGATCCTGGAATTCCTGACTGTTGGTATATGCACCCCATCCCTAAAGTGAGGCATTCATGAAGAAATGGAACTATGGATGAGATGGTATTACAGGAACCCATATCATAATAGTGTCCCGACTTAACAACCCCTCAAGATCTAATCAATGTTTATGATCCCTTGGTCGCACAAAGACCATTAAAAGGATATCTTGAGCTGTCATCCCAAAAGCATGAGGGATTTGAGTGATGCCCACATTCCCAGAAGAAAAAGAACAGTATGAAAAAGAGAGAGAGGTGAGTAAGAATAGGGCTTCCTGTTCCATACTGTGGAGCCTGATGGGAGTCAGCTGAGCCCAACTGAGAGATGTGATGAAAAAAAACCCAAACTGATGACATATTGAATTGGAGCAAGAATAAATGTCTCAGCTCTGAGAATAAAGCCTGCTTTGGTTGTTTTTGAAAGTAGAATCAGAGTGTGGTGTTTTGACCATTGATGAGATGTTGCCAGCAGTAACCAGTCATCTATGGAATGGTGTGTGCACAGTGCTATGGAATGGAGGTGACAAGAAAAACTTGTATGATTTAGCAGAACCCACGTGAAGCTGATACTAGTCCAAATGTAAAAACCCTGAACCTTGTTTACAAAAAAATGCCAATAATAGTGGGACACCATCACTATGGCAATGTGCAGATAGGAGCCAACTACAATGAACTTGGACATTCACAATCCCAGTATAAAAAAGTCAACTCAGATTGAGGAATGAGTAATTTATGAACCTTGGAGAATCTAGGCATTAATATAAATAGGAAAGATCAATGACTGGACAAAAGACGGAATAAAAGCCCTGAAGAACTAGCACAACCCTCTCACTATACGAGACCAAACTCTGATAGCTCTAGAACTAAGTTTCAAATCTCAAGGATCTGCTGGAGATGGAAACCCTATAAGTTGGGTGGACAATAGTGATGGAGATGTGAAATGAATGATTAATCCTGATTCAAGGACCTGTACTGCTTCTGGATCATGGTTAAGGCTACCACACGTCCAGAAATTCTCGGAGCTGACCTCCCCAAAGGCATACAATAAACACAGACACCACTGGTTGTGATCGAACCGAGCAGCAGAACCCTTGGATATAGACCAAATCTATTCTGAAAACCAATGTGCCAAGGGGCTAATGTCGGGGGGTGAGACCCTCAAATAGGGGGCAGAACTATGACCCCCTGAAGGAGCCGATGAAATTCGAGATGCCAATGACAATAAGGGTGAATTTAGAAACTAACAATCGAACCAATGTGCATGCTACCAATGGTTCCAGCTTGTCATCGAGGAAGTTGGTGATCCTAAGAGTCTTCCAACAAAGTGTAGCTTAAGGAAAACAAAATGTTGAATTTTAGAGTTGTCAGTCCATACACTTACCCTGTCCCACCAGGGGACATAGATCTATCCTGGTTAACTACAAACTCTGCCTTAGAACCCCTAAATTCGAAGAACAGATGTATTATTTGAGAATTAGAACATGCTTCCACCTGGTGGTGGTATACTAATTCATGAATTCCCAACAACCGTGTTGGATAAGGCATAACTGTCCCTCCATGTAACTGGGAAGAAAACCTTCCTGCATGAACCACAATGTCCATGGATGAAGAGAAAACTAACTATTCACTCCCAGACCTTTCAGCCATCAAATAAGGTGCAGGATCAAACGCAACTGGAGAAAGACCCAAAACATCACTCTTGATAAACCAACTGAAGAAAACAAGTCAAAGGCAGCTTATCCCAAAGTGACCTCCTTATTGTTTTTTTATTTCATTTAAAGATTGTGTTGATTACCATTGATTGGAACAACATTTAGTCAGGTAAGTTTGTTATCTTAGAGTAAAGCAGCATTGGGCTATCTGCTATGTCCACTATAGCGAATCGAACCCCGAATTTCACCACTGTCCCACAGAAGGACTGAAAAGCCAACAGACAAAAAGAGAAACTGAATATATGTCTCCATCTCACTACGAATAAGGTCACTGACAGTCTCAACCGAGAGTGACTCCTCCCCCCTTGATTGTTGTGTGAGGTGGGATAGGAGAGACCAGATTTGAATAATGACCTGGAAATTCACACCGGAAACCTTCTT